TTCTCCGTAGAATATACTTAATACCTTTTTATTAATCAATTGGCACTTACGTATTATCACAACAATCGCCAACGTTTGAGTAAACTCGCCAAGTTGGCAACCCTAATTTCATATGTGTCGTATCCGCTATAGACCGAAACTCCTGTTACTTACGTATTATTGCAACCTATTGGTGACATTATATGAAACAAAGCGCATGATTGCCAATTCAAAGCATACAACACCTGCAAAATTAGGGTTGCCAACTTGGCGATTGTTACGATAACATATAAGTACCGGAGTTACTCTCAGATTTCGCTGTCCCGACTTTAAAAAACGCGCTTTGGTGCCACTTTGGCGTGATTTTTTACTCACAAATGAAGCCATTTAATTTTTCTCTATCGCTAATAGTAATTAAATAAGGACTTTTCTCGGAACTGGTTATTTATGATTATTTTTTCTCCTCTCAAAGCTAGGCTTAATTTGTATTTATCAGACTTAGGAAACATGAGACCAAAAACAGAAACATTGACAACGCTGAAAAGCATGCCAAGTTTTGTTCTATAATCGAGTTTGTAGTGAAGGAAAATATCGCCAATGCTCGCATTGGTGAGAACTTGGGAAAGCTATCTGCAACCCACGATCTTTATAACGGCTCTAAGTACTATTTTATCTATTTTAGATTTTTATTTGACTTAAGTAAAAACTGTAATTTATTTTTAGATTAAAACTACTTTATATTCACTGATTAATGATGATTATTTTATTATCTGAATTGTTGCTTACTAGTGATTTGAAATTGTCCCTATTGATTTCTTAGATGACAATATAGCTCTTGTTTAGCTTATCTATATTAATAAAACCAGAAATATAAAAAAAAATTTAAGTCAATTCCTACTTAGATCAAGAAAGAAAATTTTTATTTTAGCTACTTTTTTTATTAAATAGTTACAATTAATATAAATATGTATATACAAATGACAGAATCACAACATTAAATGGTAATTAATTTTTATTAATTATCATTAAAGTATCGTATTGTCATCTAAAACAATCGCGTATATAAAATTTCAGTTCAACTGAATGCGTTAAAACGTGAGAAAAAACCTTTTCAAGTTTTGACACAAGTCACCAAAAGGGTCACTAAGTCGCCAAAATTGATGCCAACGTGGCTGTTTTTGTAATTCTTTACATAATTAGTTTTCATCAATTAATTTTTATTAATTATAATTAAATTATTGTATTGTCATCCAAAATAATCATGCATATTGAATTTCAGCTCAATTGAGCGCTTTAAAATGTATTTAATTAATGATTGAAAATTCCACCAAGATAAATAAATAAATATATGGAGAGTGTGAGTTAATAGTAAGAATTGTGAATGAGTTTATGGATGATCAGCATAATGCATAGACGAAAAGAGCTGGACGTACAAAATTCAATACACAGAAACAGAGTGATGATGGTGCGCATCTAAAAGACCATTCCTCAAAATTTGCTTTAGATGTTTTTTAATTCGATGTTGAAGTAATTTAGTTAAATTACTTCAACCTTGAAATTTTTGAATAACTCTTCAACAAAAAGTTATAAAATTACTATTTATATATACTCTCTGAGAGGTACAAATTTTTTAATAAAGGTTGATTTCCTTTGGAACATGTAAACTAATTATGCAGTTTTTGGTGAAGTTTTAAAATAGGCATTTAAATGCGCTCATTTATGATGGAGAGATTGATGAAATTTATTTTAAAAATTCACCTGCTTGAATAACGGGTATATTTCAGCTAGTCTTTAATAAAAATAGAAGATTCAGGCAACTGATGCATGTTAAATGTAATATTTGGCAGTTCCATTTATACTACAAAATATATTCAATAAAAGAGTCTTCGAAATATTTACATATTGTGATGTGGACATGGAAAAGTAAAGGGTCATCTTTAAGATGCCTATCTTATCAACTGCCCATCGCTCAGAATTAAAAATAAAATACATTTTATTAATAGGGTACGAAGACAAAGACAGACGAATACCAAAAATATAACAAATAAAAGTTTGTCCTATCACAATCCTAGAATTATTGAATGATAACATTAATAAACTATAAACCGATTTTCTAAAGAATTTAACCCTTAATGTTACTAGTTGTCTACATTCCAGTTCCACTTAATTTTATTCAAAAATCTGAGAGTGTGCGTTTCTGAATGCATATTGATAACCATACACAAAAAATAATAAGTGAAAGAAGAAAAATATTTGTGTGTACGCTTATGATCACACGATAGAAGAGAAAACTTCTGATTTATTCTGGGCAAGAGAATCCGATTGTTCGAATGTACTACCTTTTCTTTTACAACATTTTTTCATGTTTTAACTGATTTTTGGGCTCATTCATCTGTGGATTTATTTATTTTTTTCCCTTTTCTGTAAAGGGCAACCTTTAAACATAATTACGCATTCTTATATATTTATACGAGGTGTGACACAAAAAAAACGAGACTGGTCCAACAAATCCTTGCACAACATACATAATCAGTTATCCGTGACATAATTACCTTCAAAGTAGTTCCCTTCAGCATTCACAAACTTTGCATTGGGTGTTGCCGTTGCTGGTACCAGTTCTGAGACGAGATGCTTCAGGAGATTCTCCAAATTTGCCTGAATCTCTTCAACTGAGGTAAAATAGGTTCCCCTTCCAAGATTTAACTGTTGGAAATAAAAAAAAGTCGCATGAGACCAAATCAGATGAATAAGGAGGATTCCCCATCTTAGTAATGTTTTTGCTGGTCAGAAACCACTTGACAGATAGAGCCGTGTGAACGGATGCATTGTCTTGGTGCAACAACCTTCCATCCCTCTTCAATTCTGGCCTTTTTTCGTAATTTTTTCATGAAGTCTTTTTAATACTTCAATACAGTAGCGTTGCTTGACAGTCTAACCACTGATTTGAGTGGGAACCCTAGTATATCATGAATTTTGGCATTGTATTGGTCTGTAATCGTTGACCTTGGACGCCCAGCACGTTCATCATCTTCCACTTTTTCCTTTCCCCTGAAAACCACTTATGCCATTTAAACACATATGCACGAGACAATTTCATCTCCATAAACCTTGGCTAAAATTTGAAATGTTTTTGTAGCTAATTTCTTAATCTTCACAAAACTCTTGCTGTTGATTCCACATTTTTCCGGCAGAATGCAGTTGCACGAATTCACTCAATGACGCAGTACTCCCTACTGGCATGATCTATTAAGGCCACATGGATAGAGGAGATGAGTGGGATGAAGTCACCAAAATAGTTGTTGCCAACTCCAATCACTTTGTGACTTTTTGTCATACCTTGTTTTTGAGTATATACGATTTAAATATCAATTAGTCAAATCATTTAAAATATGTACATGTAAATTACTTATGTAGATTATATTTATATAATATATATGTTTATATATAGTGCTTATATGCTCTTTTGCAACAGTGCCAACGGTCAAAATACCTCAACAAATTGACAATCCTAATTTCCCAAGGGTCGTACTCGCTGAATTGGCAACCATGTGCTTCCTTACATATAATGTTGCCAATATCATGGTGATAATACGTATCGTTTATATAACTTATATAACGCCGTATACTATGTAACACGACAAGGCTAAGTATTCCGTACAGTTTCTTCAGCAATTCTTTTCTTTGTAAGGCTAGGAAAACTTATACCCTGAGAGCCATCTACTTTTCGTAAAATCTCGAAGCAGACAAAAGGAGAGGGTTTGTACTTTTTCACAATTACTACTTTTATTTTCTCGTTGTCTCATAGTTGTGATCACAAATATAAACCAAATATTGGCAACCTTCTCGATGGTTAACTTCATTAAATTTTTTTGGATTTTAATTCTTTTGGCACATTTTTATGCTCAAATGCTCTTTCTACTGAATCAAAAAATAGATCCCATGCTTCGTTTTCTCTTATCTTCGATCTCTTACATAAAAATAATTTTTTTCTTTTCATTTCCTCTTCTCTCGTTCTCTTGTTGGAGTTGTTGGAGTGGGCCGCATGACAGTAATATTTAAATAAAGAAAATAAAACTCTGCGGGGAAAAGTGTGTATGGATTTTTTACGAAAAAAAAATACGCGCCAAAAAAGTTTTCGATTCAAAATTAAATGAACTGAGTAAATCCGAATGAGCGTAACGCAGTCGAACCTAATGCTTAATTTAGATTCACTCTTCAGTAAAACGAGCCTAAAGAAGTTGCTTTGGGAGTGCAATTTGTATTTTGTATTTTTTTTTATTATTATTTTTTGACATTTGAATGTGGTGGTGAAAAAGTTCAGTGAGTTACTTGGAGAGATATTTTCCGTTTTCGTGTTTTTTATAAAGGAATGCTTTATGTAATCAAAAAAAGTATTTCTTATCTGTTTTCAGGCAAGCTATCGAAGTTTAATGTTGCACTTCAAAATTTTATTGGATGTATTCCAGACAATACTGTATGTTGCCAAAAGTATACATAAAACTTTTTTAAAAATGAATACTCAATATTATTACTTGGAATTTCTTTTTCATTTATTTTTTTATTTAACCTACGTTTTTTAAACGATTTTTTAAAATTTAAAACAAAAAATAATACATTTAAAAGTTAAGGAATGAGTATTTTATGTTCAGAGTATACTAAATATCATTGAGATTTCAATTATAAATACATCTGTTTCCAATTTAGAATAGTAGAAATTGAGAAAAAAGCATACATTTTTAGATCATACTTCTTTCTTTCAATTCCTAATATTAGCTCACTTTCACCCTTTATATATATTTTTTTATTTATATATATTGTCCAAATTTTTAATCGGTAATAAAATACTTTCTGTTCATCCAATCAAGTTCAAATAAAGTTTTTTAAGCTTGTAATGGATGACACTTGATATTAATACAGTTTTTTCAGATATTAATTCATTAATTAAACTAAAAATTGAATAAATAGTTACAAACAAAATTAATAGTTTAACAGCATATATAGAAAGGGAAACCGCTCGTTGTGTCCCTGTAGCGCAATGGGTAGCGCATTGGACTTCTAATCCAAAGATCGTTCGTTCGAATCCCGCCTGGGATAACCTAATTTCTGAGAATGTGATATATTTTTCATTATACTATTTTATTTGAATAATTAAATTTAATGAATGAATGCATAGTAATAAACAAAAATAATAGTCCAACAGCATATATATAGAAAGAAAATTTGCAAGGAAAATCGCTTTCTATTGTGCCATTTAATATTGTGAATCTGTCATATGTATATACATATTTATATTAATTGTAACTATTTAATAAAAAGTAACTAATATAAAAATTTTCTTTGTTCATCTGAGTAGGAACTAACTTAAATCTTTGTTTATATTCCTTGTGTTTTTCGTCACCATACATTTCATTCACAAATACGAGCAATTCAGTGGAACAAAATATCATTGACAGTTACTTTCTATCATTATTACCCTAGCTCCGTAAGACAATACCCGCTAAAAATAAATCTTAATCAAACGGCTGACTTAAGCAAATTAAACATCGAAGCCCACAGACGCTTCGACAGAGCCATCCACCTGTATGACCTTTCCCCGACCTAACCTTTATCTAATTGATCCCCAGCTTTTGATGGTAATTGGATTCCCCCATTCTCCTCTTGAAGAGCCCCCATTTGCAAAATGCAGTCTGCTCATCTGAAAGATAATGAGACTCACCGAAGACGCCCACTCCCCTTTCGTGGTTCCGGATGTATTGTTTCGAGACCTTTTCAAAGATCACGTATACATAGAAGAGTGTTTGAGACCGACAATTGGGCGATTGCAGTCTCTGAAGATATATTGATATATGCCTTTGAATCAGTGAAATCATTAATGTATAAAAATTAAAAGTAATGGATGGAGTAGATATTTCGTTACTCTTTTTTGATGGTGTATCAGAATACTAGAGATGTGAAATGTTTGTTTAAGACATTGCTTAGTTCAAAATATTCCATACATAAATTTTTGGAAAATTAATTATAAAATCAATATTCGAATACAAATATGATTGTTAGAGTCAAATATAGCAATATTAATTGTATTTTTTTTTACCAAGCTCTCACTTTAAGGTATACGACTACGTTTGTAACATTGATATTGCAAAAATGTACAAAAGAATTTTTTTTAATATTCATTGTCGCTTCGATTAGAATACACATATAAAATTGTTTTCAGAATATTATTACAATAGAAAATTATTTAAATGCAATATTTTGGCAAAAAATGAACTTACAGAATTACCTATTTTCAAAACATTTTCCTTTTATGAAAATCTTCTGCAATATTAATATTTTGCTTATACATACCTAAGAGTAAAATATAGCTATAGCTAAGAGCTATAGTATAGCTATAGCTAAGAGCTATAAGTATAGCTAAGAGATATAGTAGTAATTATTTTTTATCTATTAGTAAATTGTAATTACCCTTGGGTGTCTACCTTCGTTAAACGCGTTCTTAGTGGATCTTTTCTCAACAAAGAAACTTGTTTACCAAATTTCAAGTTCTTACTACTAATAGTTCAAAAGAGGGATTTTTTTGTCTATAATACACCTGCAATTTCTCTTGGATGGATTTTCTCACTTATATAACGGGTGTCTTCTCAACAAACAAAACAACACAAAAACGTGATTCGAAAATTTCAAATCTGTAGGTCTTATAATTTAGTTTTGCAGATTTTGTAATGAGTGAGTGATTCGCTTTTCTCCTTCATAAACTCTAAAGTGAAAATTTAAATTGTAAAACATTACTATCTATTAAAATAGCCATGGCATTGATATTATAATACAGAAATAGTTTACTGTAATTTTAAATCTTTTTATATAATAGCAGACAAATTGATTTTTATAAGCTGTAATAATAAAATGATATTTTGTTCTATTTTTAATCATTTGTTTATTTTATATATACATGCAACAAATTTCGTGAATGTAGGGTGCATATTTTTTGAGAGTGTATAGAACTTTAAATTGCAATAAAACAACGATGTATCATTCGACTGACATGAATTTTTTTTATTCGAAAGATAATCTTGTGGCATTACATTTTAAATATGATTTCTGGCATAGGACTGCCACGGCTGGCTCGGATGTAGTCCAATCTCGACGTCCAATTTTCGATGACTTTTTCCAACATTTGTGGCCGTATATCAGCAATAACACGGCGAATGTTGTCTTCCAAATGGGCAAGGGTTTGTGGTTTATCCGCATAGACCAATGACTTTACATAGCCCCACAGAAAATAGTCTAGCGGTGTTAAATCACAAGATCTTGGAGGCCAATTCACAGGTCCAAAACGTGAAATTAGGCGGTCACCAAACGTGTCTTTCAATAAATCGATTGTGGCACGAGCTGTGTGACATGTTGCGCCGTCTTGTTGGAACCACAGCTCCAGGACATTATGATTGTTCAATTCAGGAATGAAGAAGTTAGTAATCATGGCTCTATACCGATCACCATTGACTGTAACGTTGTGGCCTTCATCGTTTTTGAAGAAGGATTCCACCAGCCCATAAAGCGCGCCAAACAGTCAGTTTTTCTGGATGTAACGGTGTTTCGACATACACTTGTGGATTAGCTTCACTCCAAATGCGGCAGTTTTGTTTGTTGACGTAGCTATTCAACCAGAAGTGCGCTCCATCGCTAAACAAAATTCGCTTATGAAAATCGGGAACAACGGCAATCTTGTTTTGGGCCCATTCGACGAATCTACGCCTAGCTTAATGATCGTTTTGATGAATTGCCAAACTAAACTGAGAATAAATCACTTGACAGCTGTTAAATCGGTCGCCATCTTGGAAATTAATGCCAACTTAAACTTCTATACCTGGAAAAAAAACACTCTGTATATATATATATATATATATATATATATATATATATGCGTGTGTGTGTGTGTGCGTGTGTGTGTGTGTGTAATCCAATTTATTTTACATACAGAATATTCTTTAACTCGCAGACCAAGATAGTTGCAACTGTTATTTGTGCTCATTGTGCATACTAATAGCTGCACATTAAATTGTTAGAACAAAATTATGCCCCATTATAAAGAGAATTAATTAATTTGTTTCAATTCATTTTAAAAATAAAACTAATTGCAAAAATTACGAACCGCGTAATCAGAAACAAATGTCCAATTCCATTTAATAATGAAAACATTTTAAACAATTTCTCGAAGTATAAGGTTTTTCTTCCTCGTTTTGATAAATCGAAAGAAATCGCGTACTTTGTTTCTTCTGTTACTTTCACACAGACTTTTAAATATTTAATTATATTTTATATAACCAGAGAAAAAAAAGAAGTTTATATATATATGCGACACATTTTAAAGTTCTCTTATTTATTCTATAGATAAGTCTTAAATATTAAATGAATAACGTCTGCCTCCGGACCTGTCTCAAGTTCAACTTTAAAAATCTCAGACATACTTCAAAGAAACAAAGCTCAAGGTCTGTCTGTTACTGCAATAAAACTCTGTAAGTGAAGATAAAAATTAAATATTGCTTCAGGTGAATTTAACTTTTAGTGTAGGTGGTGCAACCTTAAATTATAGAAAGAGACAGTAAAATTTTTGAAATAATTATTAGTTTGGAAGTTAAAAATTCCATCATTTTAAATGTTAAAAAGGGAATCTTCCATAGAGAAAGGAGTAATTGTAGTTTGAAATGTTAGCTTTAAGTATTCATTTTAAAGTTTCAGCTAAGCGGATGTTTATTTTTATAAGCCAGATATCAAAATTTATATTTTTAAACTAGGAGATTTTTCATATGTATTGAAACAACCCACGAATGTTGTTTCTCCCACAGCAGCACTCTCCTTGTGGGAAAATTGAATTTTACTGGCAAAATTCATTTATCAGCATGAATTCGAAAAATAAGCTTATGGTTATCCTAGAAGAAGAATCTTAGAAGCTTATGGTAATCCTAGAAGAAGAATCCTAGAAAAAGAATCCTAGAAGCTTATGGTAATCCTAGAAGTTTATGGTAATCCTAGATGACGAATCCTAGAAGCTTATGGTAATCCTAGAAGTTTATGGTAATCCTAGAAGAAGAATCCTAGAAGCTTATGGTAATCCTAGAAGAAGAGTCCTTGAATCTTATGGTATCCACAATGTAATGAACGCTCCGTGTCGTCCATTAAGTGTGTGAGATTCAGAAGGAAGATAAGCCATATTGAACACAACTTCTATTTATTCCCACAATTATTCACAACACAAATTCAATAACCTGAGTTAAGAAATGCAGCAATTACTAAATATGGAAAGTAATAGCGAGGTAGACGAGATATTAGAAGACTTAATAAATCAGATCACTTACGTCCAGGCAATACACCTTCAAAGTCAAATTAACTTAATCTAACTTAATCCTCAATTGACCGAATTGTCAATGTTACACAAATAAACTACGAAATGCTCACGCCTCACTTCATGAGAAGCAATCATTGCTATCATTTAGTAATCTGATCTCTCTCCTTCTAAAGCTTTATATACAAGTCTTAATTTACATAATCACATCTTCTTCGGAGAAGGAAGGTTTGTAATAGAATAATTTTTAAAGACCCAATATTTCCCAAGAGGACTATTAGTGGAAAGAACGCGGATAGACCAATTTCAACCGGGGTTTCCATATCATGCGAATTTATCGCCTTTCATTACAAATTTGACGAAAAATGCGATATCACCAAAGGATCACCGAGAAGACTCTAGAATCAATCCTTCTAGATATTACCATGAGGATAAAAAGAGGACATTTAAAACAAAGGTCGTGTAGCTTCAGAAGAAAGCTCAGGTGGGATCAGAATCTGCTTGTGCGTTGGCTGTGATAAGAAAGAGAGAGAGATTTTATCTGTTTTGATAGTGGAACTACAGCCCTTTTTTTCTGGAACGTTGTAAAGCTTGTTCCAAACAAAAGTGGTTTGTACTATTGTAAATAAACAGTTTTGATATTTCTTTATGCATGTCGTTGATTTGTCTTCGAGTAGTCTTCTTCCGTTTCTGCTTTGTCCATTTATAAATCTGTTATTATTAAAATAATTGGAGTCGTTGCAACTCAAATTTGCAA